TGTGTTCTAAAAGGCTTTCTTTAAATGTATTTATTGAATACTAACAATAAAGGTGCTGTCTACAAGGAAACTGCCATAGCAAAAAGTTAAGTAAGTCACTTAGTAATAGAACTGGAATCTGAACCAAGGCTTCTTTGTCCTAGTTCTTTATCTGTTTGGTCCTTCCAGATAATGTAGAAAGGCCAAAATTAACATGGAAGAATCTTCAATACAAAACTAGACATGTTTTCCCTACAGAAAAAGAAAATTGGGAATTAATAACTTTCACAGGTATAGATAGACTGGGTTAGAACTACTCAAGGGATTGCCTGAGCTTGACTTAAATATACTTAAAACTTACAAATATCCCTACTTATTTACTTACATGTGCTCTACTACTTTAACCAAGCCTCTCGACAAAGTATCATCTTTAATACAATACAGAAACATTATTTCTTGTTCAAATTTTCAAGCAGCACAATGTTTTAAAATTGGCTTTATAAAAGGGTTCACAAACTATGACTAAAGTCATATTGTATATGGATGCAATACCTAGCCATACACACACATAAAATCTACTCTCAAAAAGGTTTACATACATCTGTGAAGGCAAATTTGCTAATATCAACTATCAGAACCATAACAAATTTACCACTTCAATTAATGCTGTTTGTCAGGATTTGCTAATCTATACTTCACAATAAAAGAGACACACAAAGGCACTTGAGCATGAACAATAGTGATAGTCACTATTATCAGCTCAAAAAGAGACAGAACAGGTCTTATGAAATCAATAAAAATAAAGTTTCCAACAAGGTTAAAAATTTACTCTTGGGGGGGGAGGGGGGAAGGAGAAGGATTGGGATGGGGGGGAGGGGGGAGGCTGGGAAGGGATGGGAAGGGTAAACAAAGGAGGAGGCTGCAATGCTTGGTAAGAAATGTACGCATTATCCTGCCCATGCAATTGTAACCCCTCTGTACAGTTTGTTCACAAATAAAATAAAATAAAACTTAAAAAAAAAATTTACTCTTCGCCGGGCGCTGGTGGCTCACGCCTGTAATCCTAGCTACTCAGGAGGCTGAGATCTGAGGATCGCGGTTCAAAGCCAGCCCGGGCAGGAAAGACCGTGAGACTCCTATCTCCAAAGAAAACCGGAAGTGGCGCTGTAGCTCAAGTGGTAGAGCACTTGCCTTGAACTGAAGAGCTGAGGGACAGCGCCCAGGCCCAGAGTTCAAGCCCCACGACCGACAAAAAAAAAAAAAAATTTACTCTTCTACATAGTGTTTACCTAGAATGAAATAGCTAGAAAAATTGTAATGGATAAAACAGAATATTAAAATTGTAAGTTTGGGAAATTTCTTTTTTATTGGGAGCAAAGAAATCAATTCAACTACCTTCTGCACATCAGCAATATTCACTTAGCCACACATTGCAAAAATTCTGTCATTTCTACTTGCCAGAAAGAAGCTATGTCAATACCTGACATCAATGAAGCATGAACTTAAAATAACTTCTAAAGAATATAGCTAGAGAACAGACTCAAGTGGTGGAGTGCCAGCCTTGTAAGAAAATGGAGCAAGTGTGAGGCTCTGAGATCAAATTCAAGATCCCCTTGCCTCAGCCTTCTGGGATGATAGGTATGTATTACCATGCTTGACTTCTACTGGGGGAAAAAAAAAATCTTACTAATCAGTTTTTTGTCTCTAAAATTTACAAATCTAAGCCAACTAAAAAGGAAAAAAAGTTCATATGTATATTTATATGTGTTTCTCTTTAATAGATAAAACATTTTATGCAAACCAGGAAATATTACCAATGTTAAAGATGCTTGGAGACAATCGTGATCAGATGACTGGGTCCTAATTTATTTCACAACTAAATGAGAAAAATCTAAGCATGTGGCCACAGAGGATTCTTCTAATTCTAAATACTGGTTTCGCCAGTGGCTCACGCCTGTAATCCTAGCTAGTCACTCAGGAGGCTGAGATATGAGGATCTCGGTTCAAAGCCAGCCTGGGCAGGAAAGTCCATGAGACTCTTCTCTCCAATTAACCACCAGAAAACTGGAAGTGGTGCAGTGTCTCGAGCTGAAGAGTTCAGGGACAGCACTCGGGCGTACTTCAAGCCCCAAAACTAAAAAAAACCAAGGTTTTGGGGGCTGGCAATGTGGCTTACTGCTAGAGTGCTTGCCTGGCATGCATAAAGCCCTGGGTTGGATTCCTCAGTACCATATAAACAAAAAGCTGGAAGTGGTGCTGTGGCTTAAGTGGTAGAGTGCTAGCCTTGAGCACAGAGAGGCTCAGGGACAGTACCCAGGTACGGAGTTCAAGCTCCAGGACTGGAAAAAGAAAACATAAAATGCTTCTTATTTAATGTTAAGCGTAAGGTAGGCTACTTCTAACCTTTAGTAAATAATATACAGGCATCAAAAACTTCAGCTGTTTCTGTACTTAGAAATTCTCAATTGATATTATATGACCAAGAAAGATCAGATTTAAAATCCCAAATGCAAAGCTACATGCAACTTCCAGCACCAACTTCTGAACCAAGGTGATTAATTCAATGAATCAGAATATCAAACCATTCTTCTGTAGTTGTTGTTTTGTCGGCCTTGGGGCTTGACCTCAGGGCTTGTGTGCTATCCCTCTGCTCAAGGCTGGAGCTCTCCCTATTGAGCCACAGTGCCACTTCCTGTTTTCTAGAGCTTTATTGGAGATAAGAGTATCAGGGACTTTCCTGCTGGCTTTGAACCCTGATCCTCAGATCTCAGTCTTCTGAGTAGCTAGGATTATAGGCGTGAGCCACTGGCACGCCAGGCTCCAACCTTTCTTAACTAGCTTTATTGTGCTCAAAAGTAGGTCAAAGCTCCTCTCACAAATGTGTGTGATAATATTTTCAGATAAAAGATTAGGGGGCTGGGAAGGTAGCTCAGCCATAGAGTGCATGCCTTGCAAGCATGAGGCCCTGGGTTCGATTCCTCAGCACCACATAAACAGAAAAAGCCCGAAGTGGCGCTGTGGCTCCAGTGGTAGAGCGCTAGCCTTGAGCTGAAGAGCTGAGGGACAGCGCCCAGACCCAGAGTTCAGGCCTCATGACCGGCAAAAAAAAAGAAAAAGATAAAAGGTTAGACAATGTAAATTGTTAAATTTTGAAATGATGAAAAATAATAATATTTGACACTTATATTTCCTGCTGAGTAATATTAGTAGTTTCATTTAAATAGTGATTTCATACTTACCATTTCCCTAAATTTTATAACTCTACATAAAGTGAGCAGTGTTTTTTATCAACACAATCCAGACTAGCTCAGATAAGTTTTGGAGCTCTGACTTCAATCAGATTATCTGATTTAAAGTTTAATGTTCTACAAAATCCTAAAAAGCAGTGATTCCATTCAGCCCAAGGCAGGAAGAAATTAGAAAGGAGAAAAGCTGGATAAATGAACGGAACAAAAAGAGAATATAATGAACAAATTTGGCAGTAATACAATCCATAAACAATCTCAGTGGATTTAAATGATAAACCTAGCTTTTATAATTCCACCGTCAAAGATCGTTATTGCACTTAAAAGACAAGTGTAAAAAACAAGTGCTAACTCAAAAATATGTGAATTAAACAACAAACAGTTTAGCTACAGATCAAAAGACAATCCTTTAAGTTGGAGGCATGGCTCAGTTAGCAGAATGCCAGTCAATGAGTGAAAGCATCAGGTACCAAGTTCAAGGCTTGATCTCGACCAAGAAAAGAAAAGAAAAAAAAATCCATTAACTTAAATGTTCAGAAACTTGTTTATATTATTTTCTTTTGGGAATATGAGCCACATAAACTTAACTGTATTAACCAAGCATATTTTTTGTGAGCGTTCTCTCTCTCTCTCTCTCTCTCTCTCTCTCTCACACACACACACACACACACACAAATTCACAATTCAAAATAGTGTAGGCAAATAAGTAAGAGCCTTCCATGTCATACTCATTATTATTATTATATATTATTTTCTTTTGGGAAATTTGTCATATTTGTGTAGGTACCAACATCGCGCTTCCAAAGGCCAATTAAAACAATCTGGAACGCATAAAATGCTGACTTGTAAGTAGATCCTTCCCATTTTCGACCCTAAGAATATATAGCCACTAAAATCAGACGTACTGGTAATACAACAGCTGTTGGAATATTAAATTCTCCGTCATTACAATACTAGATAAACTGGTACAAGGTTCTCTAAATGATCCACGGCAGTCTGCAAAATCTCCGAGAAGGAACACCAAAGCAGAACTGAAAGACTTCTGGGTCAGCATTAAGACACGGTGTAGTCAAGATAAACAAACAGAGCCAGCCTACACATGATTAGCCCTTTGACGGAGTTGCAGAGAAACAAAAGATGACTGGGTAAATTCTATTGGCGGTCCTAAGTCACCGCCAAGTGTGTGACATGGGGCTAACTAAATACAATTTCTCGGAATTTTAAAGATGAAGTCGACCTTCGAGTTTTACTGTAAATACTTCCACTGTCATGAAACACCAGCGTTGGGGGGGGGGTTCAGGAGTTTTGGCAAAGGCATGACAGTGGAGAGAGATCCGACGAGGTCCTCGGCGAAAGGCCCATTCCCTGGGCACTAGGCACTGCCAGATGGCACCTGCATGCACACCGGCATTGTGTGCGGACACATCGAACAGCAGGCGCTAAGTGACCGGCGAGGGCAAGAACCCAACAGCGAAAGGTCCCGAGAAACAGCTCAGTCATCGGCAGGTTGAGACCTTTTCTCCATTTGCCAAGGTCCCGGATGAGGGGGGGTTCTCTATGGAAGCCCAAGTCCGTAAACGGTCGGGAGTGCGTCCACGGACGGGGGTGCACCGTCCCGGCGACCACTCAAGGAGAGGTGTCCCAGATAAATAACCTGGCTACCGTCGAGCTGACACCTGCAGTCAGCGGTAACCTCAGAGCCCATGCCCGGCGGGGGGAGCTCCGACAGCAGCCACGCTCTGAGGACGGCCGCAGGCTCCGGTTTCCCCGGCTTACCTCGCCACTCCGACTCCGGCTGCGGCTCCTCAGGATCCCAGAAGCTGCTCCACACCGACTCTCACACCCGCCGCTGGGATCCCGGCCAACCGGAACTCGCCTGCGTCACTTCCTGTGCTCTCCCCCTCCCCTCCACGTCCCGAGAAGACTGCCTCCGAAAGAGAAACGTTCCACCTCAGTTGGAACCAACCGCCTCGGTTAATTACCAGACGGCCGCCTCCGCGAAATCTCGCGGGATTTCTGTTGGGCTCTGGCTTGAAAGAGGCCGAACGACTGCTAAGCTTCGTTCGTGGTTCTTGATCCGGAACTAGTTGTTTCGGGAACTCCGGAAGTGGTTGCTGGCGCGCGAGAAGCGTGTGCGCTCCCCAAAAGTGAAGGGCCGCGCGGTGCGAGGGAAGGGACCTGTTTAGGTAGGTGGTGGCTCCTTCCGGGGCGAAGGAGCGGGTTGCCGGGCTCCATTCTTCCTCTCTCATTCTGTAACTCGCCCGTTTTCATCTGCATGTGTGTGTGTGTGTGTGTGTGTGTGTGTGCGTGTGTGTGCGTGTGCGTGTGCGTGTGTGTGTTGGTCCTGGGGCTTCAACTCGGGCTTTGGGCGCTGTCCCCGAGCTCCTTTTGCTCAAGGCTGGCGCCCTATCACTTGGAGCCACAGCTGCATTTCTGGCTTTTTACGAATTAATTGGAGATAAGAGTCTCACAAACTTTCCTGCCCAGGCTGGCTTCAAACCACGATCCTCACTCAGCCTCCAGAATTGCTAGGATGACAGGCGCGTCCACCCGCGCCCAGTGATCCCTGGATCTCTTCCCTCTTCTGCCTTTGGAAGAAGGAGGCAAGATGGCCTTCGAGAAGGGGTAGGACCCGAAGTTTCTGGTTTTCATCATTCATATCTCCTCGTCTGGCAGCATCGATCGATTGCCTTTTTTTTTTGTCGGTCGTGGGGCCTGAACTCTGGGCCTGG